TAACTATTTTTTTTCTCTCTCTAATTAATTAGTTGGTTTTTAGTCAGTTACAAAGTTATACGAAGCATAATACACCCCACAAGCTCATAGGTTATATTTACACGGCGTTATTTACATCATTTGCTAAAATACTGAGCTGCGACGTAATTTTAAGATAGTTGAAACCAATTGTTTACCCAAAAACATGTTTATCCGAAAAATCGGAAATAGAGATCCCCACTCCTCGTTAGACGAAAGCCAAAATTCCGACGGTCTGCCAATAATCAACTATTGCCAGATGTTAACTAGGGGATTACACATAAGTCCTATGAACTGCAATAGTTTTATATCCGTCAACTTTTGATACTGCAAGTATATCTCTCATCCTACTTAAAACTCGAGTCTTCTTACTATCTAACGTCAAAGTTTTATTCGATAGCACGATAAATTAGCCCTAGCACTACAACGAATTCCATCTAGGTTGACCTTAAGATTAGAAAGCAATTATTATAAGAACTGTAACGAATATAAAAACAAATGAGTTCATCGTTTTTATCACAGACTTCAAGGGGGAAATATGAAAAGGAATTACAACTATTTTACTTTTTGAACGAGGATCCCCCGCTTGAAGAGCATTTGTAGACAGAACCCACTTGTTCTTTCACTATAGTGTATATTGTCCAGTGTATATTGGATTAGTTAAGTCCAAAATTGAGAACAATGAGTCAACGCGTGAATTTATTTGAAATTCAGGTCAATTGTTTAGGACGGTGTCAAGCACGTGGAATTATGAAAATTTTGATACAAAGGGCTGGAGAAGCGCCAGCAACAGTGGAATCTCAGGGTCTGCGTTTTGGTGTATTTCTGTCGTACTGCGTGTCTCTTTCTCAAATCTTGATGGAAAGACCACAATTTGTACAATTTAGCTTGGCTATCATCGGGAAAATCCAGTAGAAGAAAGCAGTGCTATGAATGAAACGTAACCTGGAATGTCCTTGAACAATGTCATCTGATTCTTATTTCATTCAACCATGAGCCTCAGACGATCTTGTAATGCCAGAGAGTTGAACCCATCTATACATCACATACATAAATGACATACTCTAACCACAAAACCAACTAAGCCTACTGAAGAATAAACTATGGCCAACAAATTTTAAATTTGAAAGTTGTGTGTGGTAGGGTAGTAACTTATTCACTACGCTATATTATTTTAAACATTATCCTCTAAAATCTTTACATTCAGACCCAATACTAAGAACCATATTAGTTACTTTGATCACCATACTCAAATATCTTGAGCTTGAGGATCAATAATATATCCATCAATCAATAATCCATTTTGACATCCATACCCAACAATTATATATTCAATACAAATTTATTGACAAAGAGAAAAATATATATTTTCCCACTATCTGGATATCCGTTCTTTAGAATAAGGACTGAGGATCATAAGTTGAACATAATTTCCGATAATATGTTCTTCAGAATTCTGAGAATTGCATAGATTGACAATCATTCTCTTCCATTTGTCCTTTGTCCAACGTTGATCTCGATCCTGAAAATGTTAACCTTTATTGTTATTTTACCGAACGTCTCAACCACTAGAACCAATACCAAGAAGTAATTTATTTGGTTTAAGTACTTGAAAATAAAACTAAATTATATTTCATGTCTGGCCGAATGGCAGAGTTAATGAATGAACTTGGACTGCATCGTATGCAACTTCTTTCAACAATCGATCCATAATTCTCGTGGCAATGCAGTTAATGCGTTGTTCGCTGCCAAATTGGCATTAATTTTTGCCCTTGCCATTCCCAATTCATGTTGCTGCAGAAAAACGCATAGAGGATTTTTAACATGAAGTTTCTAAGGCAAACAGAGATATTTTAATTACAATATTTTACGGATTTGCCAATGAAACTTAGGTATAAAGGAAATTTGCTAAATTATGAATTAGCAAAATTTACCTAAAATCATCCTGGCCAAAGAATTGTTACGTAGCTAAAAAAATCATTTGGATTGGTGAGATTTGAGCCAGCAATCCTCCAGGGCAAACGCTGGGGTTCTCATTACTGTACTACATTAGACCAGTGGCGTACTGCTACACGCCGTGGATCCAAATATTCAACGTGGACACTCTTGGACACCATCTTCACATGGTATTGGATTCAAAATTAGAGTCCAACTATAACCACATTTTCTTTACAAATTGCATAATTCAGGACAATTCATTCAACTGTAAAATCAATATACATAGTATAGATTACACTTAATATTTCACTACCAAAACATCCTGCTAAACTCATTCAGAAACGCTACTCTATAGCTAACCAAGATTTTTTTTATGAGTAATTGACGTTCCTAAAATTAATGTCCGTTCAAGGAAACGGAAAATTTTGCAATCACCGTTTTGATTGGCATATTACTTGAAAGAAACCTGCCTAATCTTCCCCTTTTTAGAGGATTTAAGTTTGTTTGAAAAGTATAATTGGCAATTAAATGCAGTTCTCTCCTCAACCCTTTTAGTAATACAGTAGAGGGACATTGAGTAAATTTATTGAATCAGTTTTACCTGACGTTATCATGTAGGTATTTTTCTCTAAGAGCACAAAATCCCAATTATTTCAAACGGAATTTCCATAAGAGCAATAATACACAAACAGAAAATAATGTTCAAATTAAGTCTTCCAATTTTAACTTGCAGCAAATATAAAGTACAGTTCTCAGCCTTTTGCGTTTTGCTCTTTTAAATTATTGTTGTAGGCCTATAGTAAATTACGGTTTTCTTATGATATTCTTGATGGCCTTTGGCGGTCCAATGAATTTACACTGCTAATAAAGGAGATGGATAGAAAGTTCAAGACAATAGATACAGTTGCAAGGTTTGCCAATGCTGGAGTTAACGATATTCAAAGAGTTCCAACACAGTACAGTGTATCAGATTACGCAAAATGTAAAAACTGCAAAAAATATCACGAGAACTCTTTTACTTTTTACAATAATAATCCCAGCTATGACATCAATAATACTTAATATTGTGGCCGTATTAGTCAAAATAACTGACCATGCCATTCCCCCTTCCCACGAGGTTCTGCTTTCTTAATCACACTTCGCACGCAATAGAATGACTCATACATGACGCAAACTGATTCTAGTATGATCAAAACTGTGCGTGATGGAGCCCGGCTGGTCTAGAAGCTCGGAACTTCTGTCTCAGAGGCCTCTGGGTTCAAATCCTATCAATGACCAATTACTCTTTATGGTGTAAATCTATTAACAAATTTAATTTACTGTCAAATTTAGTAGTTTTATTGCCTAATAACAGTCTTAAACAAACATAATCTTTGTACAGTAAAAGGTAATCGCATGGTTTGTTCTGCTTCTGAAACGAGTCTTTAACCCTTTTAACATGTGCAGTTTGCGCACTGGTCCCCTAGTAACAACATATTCGTAAATTATCTATACTGTTAATACTGTTCAATGAAATGGTGACCATAAATATTAGGTATAGGCCTAGTTGCTATTTATCTTTAACTGATAGGAAAAGCATGACGTGAAAACTCCCCTGAAATACGATACTTTATAGATATTAAGTCGTTATTAGTGCACTGATGCACCACCATGGAGTCCCTTTAAAATGGCAAGTTGTAAAATAGGATGGAAAGTCTACTACTTACTTGTACTATTTGAAGTAAACGGTACAACTGTGGAAAGGGAGTGAATTTTCTCTTTATAGTTATACTCAAAGATGATAAAAAACACTTTTTGTCCGTGTGATGAACTATATTTTTCATCATATTGCAACATTTCAGAAAACGAAATACTTTTCATGTAAGAATATAACCTCTCAAAACGACTTCCAGATTGTTTTAAATTTTGCTAATACAAAATATGCAAGCAGAAACAGCTGTTTAGTAAGTTAGTCAATCATTTCGTCTATTACGATTCTTTTAGTGTAGCCAACATCATACTATCGATATGTCGAACCATACACAAGAATGCAACAATAAGCTACAACCAATTTAATCAATCGATACACAATTTCGATACATGCGATTGCTTACAATATTGAAGTTTACAAAAGTTGACTTTTACTTCCTAGGGACTAAAAAGGTTTTTTACTCCCTAGGGAGTAAAGAGCCACTTTGTACCCGCAAAGCATTCAAAATTGCTGTTTTTTATGCAGTATAACGAAAACTTCCATGCACATTAGTAACTTTAAAATGTTCAAATTAAAATAGCATTTTTTAAATCCTTACCCAAAATTGTCAAATTATAATGCAATATAGTGGAATTTTAAATTCTTACCTAACTCTTAGTTCAACAAGAAAAAATTGCATTTCTAAAAGAGGGCCTTTGCTTTATAAATTTATAAGTTTTAATATTGTGACACCTGTGATATAGATTGTGACATACAGTAAGTGAAAACATCAACAAGGTTTGATACATAACATCTTTTAGTTCAGAATTTACGGAAGAAGATGGCTCTCATCTTGTACATTTGGAATAGAATCGTTTTAAATATATATATACGACGCTGACACATGCTGACACGCCAGAATGCGTTTTTAAAGGCAAAGATCAGCAAACAATTAGCGTTAAATAAATAAAATAATGTGATAGCTTTATTACTGACTGAGATCAGCTGATTATGTAGCCACAAGCATTGATTTTAGCCCAATGTTCAAGGGGTTTTGGGCTATCAAGCACAGCTCACTTTTCTCATCGAACTGGTGATCTCCTAACCACAATACTAGGCAAGCTCTTTACAGGTATACAAAATTTGTAGTTTTTTTATAATACACCACCTGCCCCCAAAGGATACCACATATGTAGCGAAATGAATTTCATATATGCGTAAATATCTCTAAGGGTCCCTTTGAACATTATTTAATCCATTAGAATTCAATAGGAAGATTAATTCCCTTTCAAAATTCTAAAAATGTGTGCAAAAACCTAGCTTGTACAATTACGTTCGTAAATTATGACACTATATTTTGCAAAAAGACACTTACTTGCCATACTCGTCCTTGTTGAACTTTGGCCTAGGCGAAGGAGACCGGCTGAATCTGCCGCTGAACGGATTCAACGTCTGCCGCTCAAGATGCTTCAGCGCCTCCTGGTTGAACTTGCTGACTTTCTCAGCCAGACCCATGAACTCCGTCATGTTGTCGAGCACTAACAGCACTGACCGAGTCCACAGCACTACTATAGGCGTTCCCGGTCAGCGTCGCGACGTTAAAATAGACCGCAGAGGCAGCGCCACCTCCGCCTCCACCAGTCATTCATGGCCTACAACAATGTTAAAGATAGAAGGCTTCTAGAAGTGAATGACTCACTGACTCAAAACATTCCTCATCTACGGAAACTTGGGTTAGGTAATGGTTGACGTTGAGTTGGTGAATGAGTTTACCAAGAGTTGTTGCGAATTCTTAAAAGAATGATACTAAGATATCCTTATTTGAACATAAGGATGATTGCGTAAAGTGTGTTGTTATGCTAGAAAAGAGGAATATACATACTTAAAACTTACTTGGTCAACAACACGTTTGGTAACGTAGATAATGTTCTTCTTAGCTGGACATAAGTAGTATCGAAATCCATAGGGACGGATTCAAATTGGTATGCATTTGAAAATGGGCTGTAGTAAGTCTGGTGTTTTTTAAATATCGGGATGCACTTTTGCAGCTACCAAAATATTACCTTTGACTATTGGTTGTAACATTGCAGTCAAAGCAACACACTTAGGATGATATGAAAAGGGCGAAGCAAGGACTTTTGATTAAAATACTTGTCACTTTCCAAAACGACATGATGGTAGACGAGCTCACTTTATACTGTAATGCTATTTCCCTGTATTCAAATCAATTGAATGTGATCACCATTTACTCAACATATGTTCTGTAATATCAAATGCCATTGTGTTTATAACGTTCGGTAACAAAACATAATGATTAGTGTAGTTGTCTTAAAACATTTTAAAAATGACAACAAATAGAAGTCTTCTCAACGAGTTGTGTATTTTCAAGGATGTGTGGAGGATTTACAGATATGGAGTAAGTAAAGTATAAACAAGGTTTTAATTCATAACTAGCTGTGTGGCGTTCTACGAACGGGGATCTTGTAATCAGTTGAAACCTTCATTGGGGGAAAACTTGACAAAAATCGCACAAAATTGTGTTTTTGATAGTTTGTTATTTTATTTCCTAAGTAGCGAGACCATATTTCTATAGCCAATGACACTCTCACCAATCCAGTGAATACAGAAAAATGGCTTGAATCTTGATCGGTACATCGGTACTGTAGTTTTCTCGGAGTAGGCCGCGTAAATTGACAATTTGGCGTTACAGCAGACAGAACAACAGAGAGACAGAAATACAGAAATTGAGATAAGACTCGTTTCGGCTTTCTTAGGCTATGAAACGTAAAAATAACCAAAAACTGCATGATTCTACGCAATGTGCAGACAAAACTGTAATTTTATATATAATATCTCCAACAGTCTAATTCATCATTTAAACAATACAACCAAATAATACATTTCAGGTTGGTTGATAATACATTTCAGACATTGGAAAGAGTTTGACAAATTAAAGAGGAAAAAATTGAGTTTGAAATTTAATTTCTGTGAATGAAAAATGTGTTAAATTAATTTATTTGTTATGGTATTTTGAGAATCTCACTAAAAATTATCTTCAGTCCATGTTTCGTCATTCGCAGTCATTCGTCATTCGTCAGTCTGCAGGTTTGCTGCGGCGGGGGTGTTCGTTTATTGCTGATTATTGTTTTTATATTATTATTTATCAACGTGTTCTTGTTAATTAATTATAGAACATTATTCATCTTTTTATTTGATCATAAAGCACTATATTTTGTTCCAAGTTGTTAATGTGTTTAATCAATATTTTATGCGATCGGAAAACTTTTCGTTCGTGTCAGGTAGTATGTTTAGTCTATGGTATTATTATGTGAAAATGTTTCAAAGTGGAGATGCCATCGGATTTTAAAATCAAATTAAATAATTAAAATATACCTACTCTATGTCATGGAGCTCTCAGGAATTGTTGTCTGCCAACTACACGGAAGACCTCTTGTAGGTTGGGGACTCTATAGCCAACCCCCAAATCCCTCTTTGTTCTGGGGCTCTATGACCAGCATACTTCTTATTTTCTGCTGGCTCTTCTTCCTTCTTCGCTTTCCTACTGAAGAACTCATCTTCCCTTTTCCCTTCCTTTCCCTTATTTTTCAGCCGAACCCAGTGGTGTCAATCGATCCTTGCCGAAGAGGTGAATGCCACCGGTCTCAGCAGTAATTCGTGCTGGTTCTCGAGGATGCCAGGCGACCTCCTGGAGTAACTAGCCTTACCCGGGTATGCAAGCCCATGTAGCACAGATGGTTGGGCCAACGTTGGCCAACTGTGGGACAGTTGGTCGATGGTTGGTTGGAGCTTCCACAACCAACCAACCGTTGTCCAACTGTATATCTCGTAGTTGGGCCAACCAATATTTACAACTGTGGACCAACATTGGTTCATTGTTAATGAAATACATTAATATGCATTGCTGGGTATCATACATCAAGCCAACCGTTGTCCAACCGTTTTTCACTCCATTGGACCAACAAAAGATACTTTTGTTGGACCAACGATGGTCCATAGTTGAGTTTACACGACTTTCATTCTCTGGGTCTAGCTTTCACAACATAATTATAATAAAATATCTGGTTTTACAATACCTTTATCAGTTCCAAAAGTTTCCAAAAGTTTTTGGAACTGATAAAGGTATTGTAAAACCAGATATTTTATATATTACAGTTCCGGGGCTACAACAATGAATTTTAATAATTATAATAATGCAAATATTTTTTAAATTAATATTCTTTAACTTATTTGCAACAATTTAAGGGGAAAGAGTAATTAATCATATAACAGGCAATTATAATAGCATTAATAATCTAACAGTAATTAATTAATCTATATTCAAATACCAGTATCCTCTCTAACTCAAAAAAAAAAAAAAAAAATTACTTATGATGCCTTAACAGATTAACAGAATCATATTATACTGTGTAGTATCAAAAATGTTTGAAGTATTGCGACCATTGCAACTGTCGGCTACTCTTTCACCACTTGAAAACTCTCTACAGGGTGAATAAAAAGTCAAGACCCCCCCTCTAATATTTTTCCAAGTAAATATACAGAGATATCCTTTTGGTGGTCGAGCAATCTTAGCAGGAAGTTTCATTTTACCATTTTGAAATTTTTGAGTGTCCCCCCAAAAGGGGGGATTTGGGGGGCAACTCAAATTTTTTAAATGTAAACCCCCTTCAAGTGACACCTCATTTTGAAGTGTTTACAAAAACTTAAAGAATGGTGAAAACTAGAGGTCGCTATCTCTTCTCTATCTAAAATGGTAGCCCGTCAAATGTTGTGGAAAATCAATGGTAAAATTGTTAATATTGGCTGCCATTTTGGATAGAGAAGAGATAGCGAGCTCTGGTTTTCACCATTCTTTAAGTTTTTGTAAACACTTCAAAATGAGGCGTCACTTTAAGGGGGTTTACATTTAAAATGTTTGAGTGTCCCCCAAAAGGGGGGATTCGGGGCACAACTAAAAATGTTTCAATAGAAACCCCTATCAAGTGACACCTCATTTTGAAGTGTTTACAAAAACTTAAAGAATGGTGAAAACCAGAGCTCGCTATCTCTTCTCTATCCAAAATGGCAGCCAATATTAACAATTTTACCATTGATTTTCCACAACATTTGACGGGCTACCATTTTAGATAGAGAAGAGATAGCGACCTCTAGTTTTCACCATTCTTTAAGTTTTTGTAAACACTTCAAAATGAGGTGTCACTTGAAGGGGGTTTACTTTTAAAAAATTTGAGTTGCCCCCCAAATCCCCCCTTTTGGGGGGACAATCAAAAATTTCAAAATGATAAAATGAAACTTCCTGCTAAGATTGCTCGACCACCAAAAGGATATCTCTGTATATTTACTTGGAAAAATATTAGAGGGGGGGGCTCGACTTTTTATTCACCCTGTATATCAACAATCACAGATAGCTCAGTTGTAAAGTAAGAGGCTCATAAGTCGAAGGACCCGGGTTCAAGACCCGTCTGGGCCTAAAAATTTTGTTCTAGCTTTTTTTCAAAATTTGTTTTTATGAACTATTTAATCAATTTACTCAACTAATAATTATGCTTTTCGTACTAAATCTTTATTATTTTGTGTGAAATGAAACGGTTGGTCAATGGTTGGCTGGAAAACAGTTTAAAGAGGTGACATTTCTACCGTTGGCCAACTGTGTGGCTCCACAATTTACCAACGTTGGCCCAACCATCTGTGCTACATGGGAGGCTATGCCTGGGCTCAATCTTCAGCCTCACTTAGTAGTTAACTGGTGGGAACGTTATGGTTTCTAGAAAACCTAAACCCTGCCAGAACCAAACCTCGATGCGACTCTAGCTATACTGTATCACCAACACTTCAAGGGTTATCTCATCCAGAGCAAGATCCAGCTCGAAATACCAGAGGAACAACAGGCCCAAATGTGGGTCTTGATGTCTGGACAAAGCTGTCCATGCACCCTAGAGGTGCAACGGCCACTCCATCCTCGGCAGAAGGACCTTCAAAGGAGGCGTAGGGGTGTAACCCGTAGGTATGATGAGGGTCGAGACACAGGTATGTCTTAAAACACCTTCAAACTCTTGATATCATAATGACAAACAGGAGTACCGATTTTGCAACCAGTCCGATGAGACTGAAAAGCACATAATTCTGGAATCCTACAAATTTGGTGCTATGAGAACGGTCCTGTTTGGTCAAAAGCAGCCAGGTGATGAACCAGACGCTAACCAGAACCTGGTCAAGGACAAGGGGATATTCTTACCTTGTTAGTGGCAATCGGGGCATGCACAATAAGCTCCAGTAGACGGGCTTGGACCCCAAATCCACCCCTCAACAATACAATACTAGCTAAGTCGTGGATAAGGTGAGACTCGGAATCAGATTCCAGATACGGAAACACCATGAACTTTTTATTTGATAGTGACACGAATACTAGAAAAATACTAGCTTGAGGCGTATGTTTTATCTATGATAATAGACTTTTCTAGTATTAGTGGGGAGTCCTGATGAGTGAAAAAAGACAACGTATTTTCATACGTATGAACTCAACCCTAAGAAATTTAGGGAATTTCGAAAACAGTTTCTCGAAGGTCTGTTGGTCTGTAAAATGAAATGATAATTAGTTGGCGGTGTTGGTAGAACTGTAG